GAAGTGTTCAAGGAGACAGATACTATCCACCCACACAGAGACCTAGAGAAAGAGAGGATAGAGATTTTGTGGGTCTGGCTGACACTATCATGGAAGACTATTGATACCGACCGGGCTCCATCCCACTTGGTCAAGCGGAGCCTATGGTCGATGTAGCAATAGGGGGAAATAGAAGTTCTTTTATGACCGACACAGGTGCTGAACATTCTGTGGTTACTAAGATGGTGGCTCCGCCTTCGGGGAAGACTATAACTGTGACAGGAGCTACTGGGAAAAGCGCTGCTAGACCGATTCTCAGGAGTTGTACTTGCATTCTGGGAGGCCATGTGGTGAAGCACCAGTTCCTATATATGCCTCAGTGTCCAATCCAACTTCTAGGATGAGATCTATTATCAAAGCTTTAAGCTCAGATAACCTTTTACCTAATGGATCAACATCTCTGCAGTTTAAGGGATTACCAGGCATAATGGCGATATCGGTGCCAAGGGAAGAAGAATGACGCTTCTATTCCATAGTGACAAGTGTTAACCCTAAGAGTGATGAATCCTTATTTGACATTCCAGGAGTATGGGAAGAAAATAATCCTCCAGGACTTGCTTGTAATATCCCACCAATACATATTGAGTTAAAGCTCGGGGTGTATCCTGTTAGCCTTTGTATGTTGTTCTTTTATCTACCCCAACAGCTGTAAAGGTGGCGGAAGTGACTCCTTGGATTCATCATTCTAAGGTTAAACCAGCGGCAGACTTTTGGCAAGCTACTCCAGATCCTGAGAATCCTTGCAGGATCCGGTTGAAGCGTGCAACTCAGTCGGGGTGACGAGGGGATATCGAGACATTCTAGTCAAAAGTTTACAGAGATCATCAAGTAGGTGTTTTTGACGGCCATAATAAAGCCTGACCACCTGCCTACATGTCATAGCCAGAGTGTCTTGAAGGGATCTCTGTGAAGGAAAGTGAGGATCAGAAGAACAACATCCTTGCAGCCCTCACAATCGGGAAGCTGAGAGGCCATCGCATGGTCGAAGAAAAATGAGGATTTCAGGAATAATGTGTTTTATTATGTGTCTTAGTATTTTTATGATTTTTCAGGAAGGTAGGAGTACAGACATACCGAATTGCAATAGTTGCATTAAGACTTCTAAAACAGGTAACCAAATATCCCAAACTCTCATCTGGCACTCACAGTATGAATGTAAGGGATCTGTAGCTAAATGTAGATATTTGGATATTGATTATAGTGTGTGCAAGCCAATATCAGGAGAGTCTAAATGTTTCGATCCCCAATTCCAACCCCATACAATTTGGTTGGTAATTCGGAATAGTAATTCCCAGGGAACTTTGATAAATAGGACTGTGACAAGCACCATACATTTCACGAGTATTCTATTATTTGATGCATGTAAGGCGATTTCGGGTAGTGGAAGACCTTGGAATGTATGTGGTAATCTGAAATGGGAACGAACTTATGGGTTTAATGATAAATACATATGTCCCAGTAAAAGATCTACTGATCCTGACTGCCCAAATAGAGACTTTAACTTCTGCCCCTATTGGTCATGTGTAGGTTGGGCAACCTGGGGAAAAACAGTGGATATGATTATCCAAAGGTTGCCTACCACACCATACTGTAAAACTATGTGTGTAACCCCCGTTCACATGACCATTTCCAATCTGCAGCACTTTATTGACAGGTTCGGAGGTCTGTTTGGGTTCCAAATGTATGGCACAGGAGTAGATCCAGTAACAATAATATATGTAGGTCTTGAAACTGAGACAGTGGCAACTCAAACTCATCAGGTTTTCCATTCCTTTTATGAGGAGATGAGTATTGAGGATAAAATTCCCCATAATGTTAAGAACCTATTTATTGATTTGGCTGAGAGTATTGCGGGTAGTCTTAATGTAACTAATTGCTATGTGTGTGGAGGTACTAATATGGGAGACCAGTGGCCAAGGGAGGCAAAGGAAATATGGAACCCTGGCTCTGAGACATATGAACAACAGATACCTTTTCAGTCTGATCATCAAGTAAGTACCAGATGTAAATCAGAGAGGCGGTTAAAAACCTCCATTATAGGTCATGTTTGTATAGCCAGGAAAGGGACAATGTATAACACGTCTGTAGGTGAGCTAACTTGCTTGGGACAAAAAGCCTATAATGTTAATACTAAAAATACTACTTGGTGGTCAGCTTCAAATGTCTCGGAGCCTACTAATCCGTTTGCCAATTACAATCATTTAAAGGAGGTATGGTTTGACTTATCGGCTGCATCTAGTTGGAAAGCCCCAGCAAATTTACACTGGATTTGTGGTTGAAAACTTATTCGGAGTTACCACAAGATTGGGAAGGGGCATGTATATTAGGTATGCCAAAGCCATCCTTCTTCTTGTTGCCAATCGAAACAGGAGAGACCTTGGGAGTTAAGGTTTACAATGTAAATCATAAAAGGGAGAGAGCATCCTTGAATATAGGTAGCTGGGAAGATGATGAGTGGTCCCCTCAACGTATTATTAATTATTATGGACCTGCTACTTGGGCAGAAGATGGCACTTATGGATATAGAACTCCGATATATATATGCTTAACCTGGTAATCCCTTAAACTGCAGAGATTATTAGACTACAGGCGGTAGTTGAACTTATCACTAATGAGACAGCACAAGCGCTTAATCTTCTAGCTAAGCAAAATACCCGGATGCGATCAGCCATATACCAGAATAGGCTAGCCCTTGATTACTTACTAGCAGTGGAAGGAGGTGTATGCGGGAAGTTTAATCTAAGTAACTGTTGTCTGCACATAGATGATGAAGGGCAGGCAGTGGCTGAACTTACAAGCCACATGGTTAAATTTGTGCATGTCTGGAATGGGTATAACCCAAGTAGTTGGTTTGGAAGTTGGTATGAGCAGCTTGGGGGAATTAAGACATTAGTAGGAGGAGTAGAATTTATTATATTTTTTTTTGCCTCCTACTGCCCTGTCTAATTCCACTAGTGGTCAGGTCCCTACGTAGTATTATAGAGAGTACTATAGAGAGAAAGACAGCTGCCCATGTAATGGCTGTCTGGAAGATATGATCCCCTAGCCCAAAGAGAATATATTCAGGATGAGGAATGTTGAAGGAGTTTTTAAGATGCTTACAAGGTCTACTCTGGTTCAATGGCTACTTGAGAGATGTAGGTAAAACTGTGATTGGTGATGCATCTGGAATAATGTTATATCAGAGGCATCAAAGGGGGGAATGTGATGGGATTCCAGCATGGTCAAACTTTAGTAGGCCAAAATCTCCATGTGGCATATGTGTATGTTGTGTCAGTTAGCTACACATAGCTAGGATACTGTCATCAGTGTACTGAGCATGTGCAGGAATGCAGGAACTGAAATTGCACTTATTTCCTTTGTCTTGGATGAGCCATGTGGTTTGACTAGATGTACAAGTCTATATTCTGCTCACTGATTGGTCTGAGGAATATAGGAGGGGTTATACTGTATGGGAGGAGATATGCAGTTAACAAAAGACCCAAGCCCCAGGTATTTGTCCCTCAGAATTTTGGAACAGGAGTTCATCTGAGACCAGATAGGTAATGTGAATAAAGGCCTCTTACTTCCTGAAGACTTGTGTCCATATCTCTGTGTTTGGCTTCTGCATGCTTACACTGCAACATTTCTGGTGCAATTGGTCCGGGAACCTCATCGCATGGAAGCTGGCGCAGAGATTTGAGACGGTAAACTTTTATCAAACCCTCTACGCTGCACCCCTGGACTTCTACTGCGTGGACATCCCTTCATCTCGGCGCCACTGGCCTTTTGTCCAGGAGATCATCGGCTTCTGCGCAGTGAGTACCGGGGTGTTCCGTCATTGAGTGTGAACCCAGGTCCAGGAACTAACAGGTAAGACTGATACCGATAGAGCGGTAGGCCCACAAGGGGTTTGTATTTGGAATTGGTTTGGTTGTATGGAATCTGCCCTGTCCTAAGGGATGGTAGAAAAGCAAAGGCGCACTGCTTATGTTGACATTAGACGCTCCCGAACGGTATCCCTTCCCTCCACGAGCTTCAAGCTCACGAACCGTCAATATCAGCCGAACGCCGGTATCTCCCAAGCGGCTGATAATTCCAAATAGCAGTCTCTAGTCGCCGGTAATAAAATCCCCCCAATAACGAGACCAAGCTCCGCATTGAGGGTAAAACACGAACTGAGTTTACTGTGGGCTACCCGCCCGTATTTATGCAGGTCTCCCACTTGGTGGACACTCCCCTAGGGGACCAAATGGGAGACTGGAATAGCAGATGGACATATGGCATTTCAGGACATACAGTCACACAATATTCCCAGCATACATCACAGTTTCCTCCCCTCTGCCCGGGAGATAATTGAGAAGTAATTCAATTATCTCCCAGAGCAGAGGCAAATCGCCATTTTAAATACAAATCATAAAACACATAAAAATATATAACCTTATAACTGCCGAACATTTCTCATTCGTGTAACACATCCCCAGATAGCCTGGATCTGAGTGCATATTATTGGCGAATAGCGCTCAGATCCCATACGCATAGTTCAATCGCCATGGAGTCAAAGTCTATTACAGTGCTTTGGTCTTTCGCATGGTTTAAAATGGCCGCCGCCTCGTGGTCGACATACGAACGACGACCACCCTGTATTCGGTTTTAATTGAGAAGTGTCTGTGGTTAACCGCAACATTCTAATTGGGATCAATAGGTTAATCAACAGCACACTTCGCTTCTGGGTGGCCGTCCGTTCGACAGTTTTGTTCGGTAAAAAAGTCAATTCACTTAAATCCATGCATACGAATGGTAGAGTTTGTGAAACAAGCAAACAGACGAACCCAGCAATCTTAGTTCATACGGATGGGTCTGTCACAGTTTGATTTCTCTAAGTTCATTTTATATCCTGAAACTAACTCTGGGACTGAGATCTCTGGATCTTTTAATGTTAGTAAGATGTCTGCGTATATATTTAGTTTTGATTGTCCAGACTTATTAGTGAAGCCCTTTATTCTCTTGTTTTGTCTTATTGCAATTGCCAAGGGTTCTAAAACCATTATATACAGTAGTAGAGAGAGAGGGCATCCTTGTCTTGTCCCATTTCTTATGTTCTTATGTGATGTTATTCTTATGTGATGTTGACATTTGAATGTGGTGTTGGTATTTGAATGCAAGCATGCCTTTATGTGTAGTGCTGGTTTTTCAATGCAGCGGTGTGTTTATATATAATTTTGGTGTTTGTATGAAGTGTTGAAGTTTGAATGCAGGGGTGTATTTGTGTGTAGTGTTGGTGTTTTAATACTGAGATGTATGCACATATACACATGCACTGCCACACACACACTGTGATACACACACACATACTAAGATACACACACACACTGAAACACATGCAGATGCACAAATATACACACCGACACACATGCAGGTATACAGACACATATACACACACTGACTCACATGCAGATACAGGCACATATACAGATATTTATACACATACACTAACAGACATACTGACATACACACACACAGACACTGACAGACAAACTGACACACACACAGACAGACATACTGACACACACACAGACACATACCCTTATAGAACTAACTGGGCCAGGGGAATCTGCCCCAGTTGACCCATGTTAAAGACCACCCTGGGGAAGTTGACAGTGTGGGGGGCAGTGTGTGGCAAAGTAACAGAGTGAGGGGGCAGTGTGTGGATGGGTGACAGTGTGGGTGTCCATTTGTGGGAGGGTGACAGTGAGAGGGAAGTGTGTGGGAAACTGACAGAGGGGGCAGTATGTAACAGGGTGACAGAGGGGGGGCAGTGTGTGTGGGAGGGGAACTGTGGGTTGTGACAAGGTCAGTGTGGGGAGAGGCTGTTTCAGTGACCAGCCTTCCCACATTAAATTACCTTTATTTTTTTAATTCTCTGTGGTCTAGTGGGCTAGGACTGCAGGCCATGTGATAGAGATCTTGAGAACTACCAGAGTGTTGCCATAGCAACCCGTAGCAATGCTCTGATTGGCAGAGCTTGCAAAGCCTGCAGCTCTGCTCCCAGCAAAGTTGCCTCCTGAAGGTCATGGGTATTCTCCCTCTACAGGCTGACTGAGAGGAGGGGCCTTGTACCTGGTGGCATACAGGGCGAGCTGCCAGCCCCTGTCATTGACCGAAAACTCAACAGGTCAGTGTGTGCTAAGGATTTAAGCGGCCGCAAGGCCCCTGTCTCCTAATTAGAGAGCCACCACTGATGAGAGCTGCCAATGCAATCTGAATTTTGTAATTTTCACTGGATATTGTATATCTGGACAAAATTCAGTGTATATTGAATAACCCTGTAAGTGTAGAACCTCTTTTTTTTCTTCCTTATTTTTCATTTCATCCTTCCTCATGAAGCCTTTCTAGAATCCTTTGAACCAGATTTGCTAGTATCAATTTTGTCTTTCTGTTTCATATACTTTACTGCTTAAGGGTTAAACCCTATAAAGTCGTGGAAGTGCTGGCACTTGGCCCTTCTTTGACTGGGTGTCTTGTAAATGCTTTTATTTTGATTGATACAACACAGACTGCTTGATGGAGAATGCAGAAGAATTACAAATGCTGTACCATTCAGGTAATAGCAGCAGACACAGATATACACTGGACAAAATTATAAACGCAACACTTTTTTTTGCCCCCATTTTTCATGAACTGAACTCAAAAAGCTAAGACTTTTTCTATGTACACAAAAGGCCTATTTCTCTCAAATATTGTTCACAAATCTGTCTAAATCTGTGTTAGTGAGCACTTCTCTTTTGCCGAGATAATCCATTCACCTCACAAGGTGTGGCATATCAAGATGCTGATTAGCATGATTACTGCACAGGTGTGCCTTAGGCTGGCCACAATAAAAGTCCACTCTAAAATGTGCAGTTTTACTGTATTGGGATGGGGAGGTTATAAAAAACAGTCAGTAGCTGGTGTGACCACCAATTGCCTCACGTAGTGCAACGCATCTCCTTCGCAGTTAAGTCCGGTTGATCAGGTTGTTGATTGTGGCCTGTGGAATGTTGGTCCACTCCTTATAAATGGCTGTGTGAAGTTGCTGGATATCGTATACACTGATCCAGAGCATCCCAAACATGCTCAATGGGTGACATGTCCGGTAAGTATGCTGGGCATGCAAGAACTGGGATGTTTTCAGCTTCCAGGAATTGTGTACAGATCCTTGCAACATGGGGCTGTGCATTATCATTCACATTTTAGAGTGGCCTTTTATTGTGGCCAGCCTTTGCATTACTCATGCGGTCTTATCACTAATGCATAAAAAATAATAATGCAACATGTAAAAAATAAATAAAAGTGTTATAAGTAAATAAAAAATAAAGTGTTGCGTTTAATTTTGTTCAGTGTACATACAAATCAACTGAACTTGTTAATATCAACTATCTGAAGTGCACTGAGCTTTAAACTATTTTTACCTATAGAGTTATTTAGTAGAGTGAGAATTCAAGGTGAATTAAAATTTTAAGTCAGTTATACTTTGACTACTCTGGTCTTAAATGTAAAATTCACCTTGAATTCACTTTGAATTCTCCCTTTAGTGAATAACCCTGTTAGTCCACGTGCACAATAAATATGAACAACCTTCTCGGTGTCTTCCTTCTTCACAGATTTCAAGTTGGCACGCAAGTCCATGGAAACCTTGTGTTTAGAACCCAACAGAGCACGGAGCATGGCATCAGCTGAAACCCGAACCCTGCGTAGAGCTGGCCTTTTAAACTTTCCACGCAGATCCAATACCTTCATCTTTAGATCTTGAATCTACAGAGTGTTGTAAGTGGATACAAAATGTTAAACATTGACTGTCTTCTTAACTTATTTTGTCTGTTAATACATATTTATTAGTGATGTCCCGAACTGTTCGCCGTATGGTTCGCGAACGGTTCGCAACGGACTCATCATTGAGTAAACTTTGACCCTGTACCTCACAGTCAGCAGACACATTCCAGCCAATCAGCAGCAGACCCTCCCTCCCAGACCCTCCCACCTCCTGGACAGCATCCATTGTGAAGCTGCATTCTTAGTGAGCTGTCCCGGAGGTGGGAGGGTCTGGGAGGGAGGGTCTGCTGCTGATTGGCTGGAATGTGTCTGTTAACTGTGAGGTACAGGGTCAAAGTTTACTCAATGATGAGTCCACGGCGAACCGTTCGTGGCGAACCGTTCGGTGAACAGTTCGGGACATCACTAATATTTATTTGTCCTGAGCAATATTTCACAGCTCAATACTAAAGGTACATCAATTTTCCAGGTTTTATTAGCATCACTGTTGGCGAAGAATGGTGTGCCTGGGTTGGGAAATATGCTTTTCTTATGGATAACTGGGGGAGCTGGCACCATAGAATTAATGCTTTAATGACAATGACCATTATGTTGACAATATTTATCAAATATATTTATTAAAAAGCTAACATGGACTTTGTACACATTTTATCAAGCTCATCTTTAAAACAGAACTGGAAAATCACCAATTAGGGATGCAAGATAAAAGATTTTCAGGCACTGCTCTAGACAAACAAATATTGGACATACATCAGAATTATATATTACAAAAATTATCTTAAAGGAAATTTTTAGTACTCTTTAGTACTGTCTTTAGTACTCTAAGAGAGTCATCGGGTAATTGTCCTTTTGAATTCTGTCATTGAAACGTGTGCATTGTGGCTTTCTCCTAAGACACCTAAGCAGTTTTGGTTATCTCTTATCTGGTATGGATGTAATATGGACCTTCTGAATATCTTTAAGGACATGTTACTTACAGTTGCAAGAAAAAGTATGCGAACCCTTTGGAATGATATGGATTTCTGCACCAATTGGTCATAAAATGTGATCTGATCATCATCTAAGTCACAACAATAGACAATCACAGTCTGCTTAAACTAATAACGCACAAAGAATGAAAGTTGCCATGTTTTTATTGAACACTTAGTAGTCTACTTTAAAAAAAAATATGTACATGTGGGGTGTTATTCAGAGATTTATGACAGATAATAGTGTTACAATGTCACTATTGATAAATTTTAAAAATGTATGTTTTGAAACCGCAATATCCTACTTGTACTTATAGCCCTATAACTTTTGGGACGCGTCCCGGAAGTCAGTGCCGAATTTGTAACGCACGTTGCGTTCCAACAGACGGAACCAGGAAGTGATATATAAAGAAGATAAAGCCAGCCGGCGGCATTTTCAAAAAGAAAGAACATTGGAAGAGACATTAGAGCCAACTGAGGAAGCCTGTTAATCAGGCGAAACGCGTTTTGGACACTCATTTTTCAACTTTTATTGGACTTTTTATTGGACTCTATCTATATCCAATATTGACTGGTATATTATATTGCCATTCTGTTATTATATTATTACTTTTTTTTTTTTTTTAAATAAACAAATACCAGTTTTTCAAAGATCCTCGGTATACTGGGCACCTTTATTGAAGACACACTAAAGATCATCAGGGGGAATAACAAGTAACCAACGAAAGAAGGGTTTGGACAACCCCCTAATGGTCCAAGGGAGCATACTTTTAGAGTCATATGACGGTATGACTCTAGACTTGTGAGTTTAACTATTTTTATTTTTTATATGCAATACATTGTATAGATATACTACGCTATTTGCATATATTCTATTTTTCAGATTGTTCAAGATACTCTACAGCTCCAACTATAACTCTGTATGTAAAGAATTCCACATAACTTTTGTTCTTACAGTAAAACTTTGCCTTAGACAAAATCTTCTTTCTTCCAGTCTAAACACATGACCTTGTGTCCTATGTAAAGTCTGGTTTGTGAATAGATTTCCACACAGTGGTTTGTATTGGCCCAGAATATATTTGTATAATGTTATCATATCCTCTCTCAGGCAACGTTTTTCTAAACTAAAGAGGTGTAAATTTTTTAACCTTTCTGCATAGCTGATATGTTCCATTCCTTTTATTAATTTTGTAGCCCCCCTCTGCACTTTTTCTAGTGCCATAATATCCTTTAGAACAGGTGCCCAAAATTACACTGCATATTCAATATGTGGTCTTACCAGTGATTTATAACGAGGCAAAATGATATTCTCATCCCAAGAATGAATGCCCTTTTTCATGTGTCATCTGCAAACACTGAAAAATGACTTTCAATGCTTTTTTTCTAGATTCTTGATAAACATGTTAAATAGAAGGGGTCCCAGAACAGAACCCTGAGGGACACCACTTGCCACCTCTGTCCAGCTTGAAAATGTACCATTAATGACAACTCTTTGTATTCTATTTTTAAGCCAATGTTCTACCCAAGAACAATAATTTTCATCTAGACCATCTTGAGTTTGAACACTAATCTATTGTGTGGAACTGTATCAAATGCCTTGGCAAAATCCAAATAGATCACATCCACTGCAACACCCTGATCTATACTTCTGCTTACTATTCATTACCTAGATGATGTTCTCATAACAGCTGCAAAAGAAGAAATTATGGTCTCTCATATGGAGAGAGTTTTAAAAATCCTTATGGATTTCAGATGGATTGTCAACGTTACCTAAAGTAAATTGATTCCCACCCAACAAATAGATTTTCAGTGTGCTTCCTTAGATAAAATAAACAATACAATCTCTTTATAAAAAAAACGATATGACTGACGGCCTGACACTCCGACTGGGTGCTTCCGCCAATCAATGATTCCTAGTGCTCACCAAGTAATTCCAAGCACTCCACCAGGAACCATCAGCACTGTAGACCCTTAGCTGCCACAGCTTGGCTGGGGTCTTTCTATCCTCCACCAACCCTGGACCCAAGTCAGGGATCCAGCTTCCAGTGGGTAGACATCTCCTAGTCCCGAGAGTATAGCAGGATAGTTCTTACAAGAGCTAGTGATACACATGGACCGGTAGAGCAGAGGCCAATGCTGCTCTGTCCTGTTGGTATTGCTTCTGCTGCAAGAGCCTGTTGGGCATCAGGCTTAACAATACGGGGACAGGTAGGGCAGAGGCCAGCTGCGTTCTGCCCTGATGCCAGCTCTCTGCTAGGATGGCCTGTGTAATGTTAGGCCCTGGAAAAAGGAAAAGGAAAGGGCAGAGGCCAACTGCACTCTGCCCGAATGCTAGCGCTTCTGGAGATGGCTGCCCCCTCCACTACCCCCAGGACCTGGTTGGGAATCTGCTACTGAAAGGAGGAAATCCTTCCCCTGGTATTCCTGCGGGGGTAGTTGGGGATCTTGACCGGCCATCTAAAATCCCTGTAGGTCTGGTGCAGAGACCTCTGTCCCATCTGCACCATCTATTTCCTGTGTCCTGTCTTGGGCCAACAGGCACCGTTGCTGCGGAGTGGGACCGGTCGTCCCCACTTCCAGTATCTCCGGCTGCTGCTTGGGAGGGGGACCGAGTATCCCTTCTCCATGTATAGTATGCTGCTGGGGAGGGGGACCGATTATCCTTTCTCCCTGCACGGTATGCTGCAGCTGAGGAGTAGGACCGACTGTCCTCCCTCCGAGTACTTCCAGCTGCAGTTGGAGGTCTGGGTCGGTGGAGAGACCTCAGTTGGAGTTCCCCCCAGGACCAGTCTATAAGGTCTCCCTATAATTGGGAAGAAGGACCAGCTGTCTCCTCTTCTGGTATCGGTTTTCTCCTTCTCCCATTAGCTCCATCTGTGGTTGGGGATCTGGCCTGACTGCCCAACCTCCCTGTAGTGCCGATGGAGAGACCTTGGTCCCATCTCCACCTGCCGACAGAGAGTGTTCCCAGGACCAGTGGATGAGACCTCAGCCAGGTCTCCCCAGCTGTAGGGTGGTAGGTCTGGGTCCGACACCCAGCTCTCCTGCTCTCCCTGCAGGGTATATTGGGGCTGAATTGAGCTGAGCAGGTGTTGGTAAGCCTGATCCAGCTCCCATTCCATGGTGGCCAGATGGATCAGGTCTGGTCCTAGTTCACCAGCTATAGGAAGATCCAGCAGTATGTTCCATAATTGGGACTCTCCAGCACTCCTGAACTCTGGTTCAGCAAAGGCCTCCCATAACAGGCCAGGGCAATCGTAATCCTTGCCCTCGGACCTGTCTTGCTCAGCCATCCAAGGAACATGCTGAATCGTGTACCACCATAGCGCCTGGTACGCGTTGTCGAGCCACAGTTGCTTCCATACCAGTCGCTCAAGCTTCATCATCCACTCATCCAGGGGCTGCTCTCCCAGGAGAGGCATCCACAGCGCAACTTGTACTTGTAGCCGCTGCTCCTCGCTGGGGAGACTCTCATCCCGCTGACTTTGTACACCCTCCAGGGTTTCATCCCAAAGCACCTTTCTAGTGACCTCTCTGTAGTCCAGTATGTTCTCCTGTGATACGGGCCAATCCTGTTGGGCCAAGTGGTTCAGCAACCTCCAGTAAAACATCTCCTCATATGGGAATGCCGTCCGGGGACTAGCTGGTTCCATACCGCTGTAGACAGGGGCGCTGTATGAATACTAGCATTGCCCTCATTTATAAATCCATAACGATTCCGGTGTCTCCAGAATGTTTCTATACTCACTAGGAAGCCATCCCACCACTTGCCATCAGATGTGACAGAGCGCCTGGCACCCTAATTGGGTGTCTCCTCCAATCGATGCTTCCTAGTGCTCACCGAGTACTTCCAAGCACTTCACCAGACACCATCAGCACTGTAGACTCTTAGCCTCCACAGCATGCCTGGGGTCTCGCTGTCCTCCACCCACCCTGGACCCAAGTCAGGGATCCAGCTTCCAGTGGGTAAACCTCTCCTACTTCAGAGAGTATAGCAGAATAGCTATTACAAGAGCTAGTGATTAGAGTTGAGCGGACACCTGGATGTTTGGGTTCGGCGGGTTCGGCCAAACTTCGGAAAAAAGTCTGGGTTCGGGATCGAACTTGACCCCGAACTTGACCCCGAATCCAAACCCCATTGAAGTCAATGGGGACTCGAACTTTTGGGCACAAAAATGGCTCTAAAAAGTCCTGGAAAGGGTTAGAGGGCTGCAAAAGAAAGTAAAATGGGGGTAAGAGTGGGACAAGTGCCCTGCAAACAAATGTGGATAGGGAAATCACTTAAAATAACAAAAATTAAATATAATTTGATCCTATTCATTGCCGCGGCTGCATCTTGCAGCCGCTTAGTAGATAGCTCCCTAATTCACACGGTATCACGGTCTTTCAGACAAATTTACTAATACTAAGTAAAGATTATATAGTATTAGTAAATTCAGCCCCTACTCGCTATACCACGAGTAGGGGCATGTCTAGTAAGCAGTGAGCAGCCTGTGGCAAGCACCGCACCGGACACCACAAAAAACAGCTCACATCAAATGGAATATATACGCACATATGGCTGCTCACTGTAAAAAAAAAAAAAAACTATTGCCCCCACCGCTGTGCGATGAGTGGGGGCCCTACTGTCCTCCCCCTCTGGCCCCCACCCCTGAGCGGTGGGTGGGGGCCATAAATAAGAATGTGGGAGGGAACCTACTGTCCTCCCCCCAGCCCCCACTCCTGCGAGGCGGGTGGGGGCCCTAAATAAAAATAAGGGGGGAACCTACCTACTGTCCTCCCCCTCTGGCCCCCACCCCTGAGCGGTGGGTGGGGGCCATAAATAAGAATGTGGGAGGGAACCTACTGTCCTCCCCCCCAGCCCCCACTCCTGCGTGGCGGGTGGGGGCCCTAAATAAAAATAAGGGGGGGAACCTACTGTCCTCCCCCCCGGCCCCCACCCCTGAGCGGTGGGTGGGGGCCATAAATAAGAATGTGGGGGGACATGCTATCCTCCCCCCCGGCACCCACCCCTGAGCCATAAATGGGGGCTGTAACGGCACCCATAGCATAAAAGGGTTAAACCACCATTTAGTAGATCTTCCCCTTCCAGAGATGCAGGCACAGCTACTGCAGAACACCAATCCGCTGAACAGGAAACCATACGAATGCTGTAAACAGCCGAATAGGAAAAACCATACGAATAGGTTTACACTCCTAGCAGTCGAACTGGTACAGCATCCAATAAATCCCCCCAAGAACGAGACAAAGCTCCGGTCCCATCTGCACAGTTGTGGGGCTTACTGTCTCCCCTTTGTACATTAAGCTGCCACTGGGGAGAGGGGGTAACAAGCTCCTCTCCCATACATACTTCCAGCCGCAGGGGAGAGAGACCGACTGTCTCTGCTCCCAATACAGAGTCCTGGAGACTGGGCTCTCTATTCCCAGTAGGACACTCTGCCGCTGGGGAATGGAGACTGGGCTCCCAATTCCCTGTAATTCGTACTGCCGCTGGGGAATGGAGACTGGGCTCCCAATTCCCTGCAATATCTCCCGTTGGGGAATGGAGACCGGGCTCCCAATTCCCAATAAATCACACTGCCGCTGCAGTATCTCCCGCTTGGGAATGGAGACCAGGCTCCCAATTCCCAATAAAACACACTGCCGCTGGGGATTTGAGCCGACTGCCCACCATCCTTGTAGCTCACCCTGCCACTGGGGAGGGAGGATGCTGCTCTCCTCTCCCTGCAAGGAACACTGCCGCTGGGGGACAGGACCACTTGTCTCTGCCCCCTGTAACTCAGCCTGCCGCTGGGGAATGGAGCTCGGGCTCCCAATTCCCTGCAATTCACACTGCTGCTGGGGGACAGAAGCAACTATCTCTGTCCCCTGTAACTCAGCCTGCCGCTGGGGAATGGAGCTTGGGCTCCCGATTCCCTGCAATATCTCCCACTGGGGAATGGAGCTCGGGCTCCCAAATCCCTGCAATATCAGTGGAGAGACCTCGCTCCCGTCTCCACCCACCACCTGGGGTTCTTCCCAGTAAATATCAACAATGTCTTCCCAGCTGAATGGGTCTGGAACTGGATCTGTCACCTTGCTGTCCTGCTGAATCTTCTCAATGTAGTGAAGAGATCTCGGTAGTCCTGCTCCAGTTCCCACTCCAGGGTTGCTAGGTCTTGCTCAATTTCGTGAGTGTCGTCCCAGTCATACCTGCTCTCCCTACACTCCAAGAGATCACTGAACCGGGCTTGTGTAGGGCTCCCAAACTCAGGCTCTGCAAAAGCCTCCCATAACAAGCCAGGACCATCAAACTCCTCTCCCTCTGGCTTGTCATGCTCGGCTGTTCAGGGCAGGTACTGTGCCCCATACCACCAGAGCGCCTGGTAGGCATCTTCCAGCCAAATCTCCTGCCATACTCAGAGCTCCAATTCCTTCACCCATTCCTTTAGGGGCTGCACTCCGAGGAAGGGCATCCGCAGGGCCACTTGCTTCTGCAACCGCTGCTCTTCACTGGGGAGACTCTCACCTCGCTGGTATTGTACATTATCCAGGGCCTGGTACCAGATGCTTTTCCTTAATGCATCCCGGCCATCCAGGTCCTCCTCCTTGTATAACACTGCTGGTTCCATTCTGTTGCTTTTAGGGTTGCTGTACTGGGACATGCGTTGCCCCCACTTGTAAATCCAAAGAAATGGTGTCTCCTGTAGCTGTCCTTCTGGCTGTAAGAACGATCCCGCCGCTTGCCACCAATTGTAACAGCACCCTCAGCATAAAAGGGTTAAACCGCCGTTTAGTAGATCTTCCCCTTCCAGAGATGCTGGCACAGCTACTGCAGAACACCAATCCGCCGAACAGGAAACCATACGAATGCTGTAAACAGCCGAATAGGAAAAACCATACGAATAGGTTTACACTCCTAGCAGTCGAACTGGAACAGCATACAATAAATCCCCCCAAGAACGAGACAAAGCTCCGTGTTGAGGGTCAAGCAGTGAACAGTCAGAGCTGTGGGTTTATTGTGCTTATGTACACATTCTTACACATTAGTACCACCCACAGGGTTTTGGAACACAACCAATAAACACATACAATACACTCAGACACTCCCACACAAATTCCTCCCCTCTGCTTGTGATTCAATTACCTTACACAATGGGTAATGTAATTTAGCACAAGCAGAGAAATACAATTTTTCCACATTATTCATAACTTGACAAGTATGCATCACATTCACATAAATTTTCAGAATCAGCATACTCCAAATACAAACATACATCAAAATCATACAAATTGGTCCAGTGGTTCAAAAGATAGATCGTAGTCCTTTGTGACCACAGGAAGCATGGCTTTTCTGCCCAAAACCAGTTCCACAGAGTCTTCTATCCTGGAGATAATTGTGAAGTAATCCAATTATCTCCAAAGACAGAGGCAAAACTCCATTGAACACATGGCAGCAAAAAGACAGTAAAATACAATAAAATACACAAGGTTACATTTATGACATAAAATACAGACATGCAACATATGCCCAGATAGCTTAGGTCTGAGCACACATTATTACTGAATGGCGCTCAGAGCACACACATACAGTTCAATTGCCATGGAGCCAAAGTCTTTCCCATAGTCTTTCATTATACGAATGGGCTCCATGGCATAGCTATCTGGGGTATCACTGCTCAAACAGGGCAAGCACCAAATGACCCAGCTTTCTTGTCTTTGCAGGGGAAAATCAAGCCTTTTAACATGGGGCCATAATCCAAAGGCAACAGGCGAGCAACCAGGCTTCTCCAATGCAATGTGGCGAGATTGCTCTCCTCACAGGGGCCATAAATAAAAATTGGGGGGGACCTATTGTCCTCCCCCATGGCCCCCACCCCTGAGTGGCGGGTGGGGGCCCTAAATAAAAATTTAGCCCCCCCAGGTTACTAGGGGTCCCCAAATCTCTAGTCACCACCCTCCCCGCCAACAAATAACCCCTACCTACCCCCCTCATCCTAAAAATAATGATGGGGGACCCTTATCTAAATACCTGTAAAAAAATTTAAAAAATAGACTTACCATTTGATGTTTTCTTTCTTCTAAACTCTTCTTTTTTCAGCCTCAAAAAAGGCCAAATAAAAATCCATAATATCCGACGCACTTTAAAAAAAATAAAAAATAAAAATAATAATTATAAAGCCTTGCCCCGCCCTGCAATTAGGCTCAGAGCACTCTGATTGAGTTTAAGCCATCCAATCAGAGTGCTCTGATAGGTAAATGAAGAGACTGACAGGTAAGTCTCTACATTTACCTATCACAGCACTCTGATTGGTTGGCTTGAAATCCACCAATCAGAGTGCTCTGTGTCATTTTACACAAGTTCTTTGGAAATTAGGTCCCCCCCAATTTTTATTTATTGCCTCCACCCACCGCTCAGGGGTGGGGGCCAGGGGGAGGACATTAGGTCCCCCCCAATTTTAATTTATGGCCCCCACCCCCACTGCTCAGGGGAGGGGTACGGGGGGGGAGGACAGTAGGTCCCCCCTTATTGTTATTTAGGGCCCCCACCCGCCGCTCAGGGATGGGGGCCAGGGGGGAGGACAATAGGTCCCCTCCTTATTAATATTTAGTGCCCACACCTACAGCTCAGGGGTGGGGGCTGGGGGGAGGACAATAGGTCCCCCCCTTATTCTAATTTATGGTCCCCACCCGCAGCTCAGGGGTGGGGGCCGGGATGAGGACAATAGGTCCCCCCCAATGGTATTTACAGCCCCCACCCGCCGCTCAGGGGTGGGGGCCGGGGGGGGCAATAGGTCTCCCCCCCTTATTGGTATTTATGGCCCCCACCTCGCTCATGGGTGGGGGCCGGGGGGGCAACAGGCCCTTTAGTTTAAAGCTCCCACTCATGTGTCACGGGTGGGAGCTCAGGAGGGGGGAATGTTTTTTTTTTTTTTTTAACAGTGAGCAGCCACAGGCTGCTCACTGTTTAATAGACATGCCCCTACTCGCGGTATAGCGAGTAGGGGCACAATTTAATAATACTAAGTAACCAGCTTATATAGAGGCTGGGTCACATGCTGCACTGGCCAATCACATCCATGCCTTTAGTAGGCATGGCTGTGATGGTTTCTAAGGGCACACAAGTCAAACGCATGTTGATTGGCTGCCCTGCAGCCTTTCAAAATGCACCATTAAATCGCCGAACAGCGAACTCCAACCCGAACATACACTGATATGTCCGTGTTCGGGTCCGGGGTCCAAAAATCGTAATGTTCAGTACGAACCTGAACTTTATAGTTCAGGTTCGCTCAAGTCTACTAGTGACATAGCTGTTATAGCTGTCCCCTACAAGCACGAGATGAGGCTCTGTGTTGAGGGTGAAGTAGAACTGTTTAATGGCAACCACAACTGGCCTGATATGCAAGTTCCCATGCAAGGGGTTTTCCATAACATATTCCAGGGGCATTCCCTACTGGACCTGAGAGGGAACTGTGACAAAGTACACACTATAATTACATTGGCTCACCCCCACACAAAGCAAGATAATCCCTCCCCTGTGCCTGAGAGACAATTGAGTCAGGAACTGTACTAACTGTACCCCCAAAACACATGGAAACCCCACTGTGGCAAAACTAGCCACTTAAGACTGTATGTATATTAATGTGTTTCTGTGACTTTAAGAATGTGAGAACCAAGCATGTACCTATTTCTTAATTTTATGCGAACGAAAGCAGTCGTATGCTGGCGGCAGGAAAACCACCAGCATTCATACAGTAGTTTCACAAACAGTGAATTTCAACACTGTTCGTGAAACTAACAAACTACCGAATGGGAGACCACACACAGGAGGTCGTGTGGCTCCCATTTAGTATTGCAACAGTGTATCCATTGGTAATTATTGAGATTCAGGGTGGCCGCCATTCAGCAACTGACCACGCGGCGGTCAGCCATCTTGGATCCTTTGTTAGCCCAGCTGGCACGAATACCGCTGGACTTCCAGGCCGTTCAGGAGCACCGGTCCTTCGGTAGTTTGTTCCCCTATATACATTCGGTACTTTAAGGTGAATGTTTTTGTGCGGCGTTCGGTTATTTATGCTGGGATCTGAGCGGTACTTTCATGAAAGGTGTGCTCAGACTCCAGCTATCTACCGAACGGTCATTCGGTAAAATAACATGAATAATGTGAAAGTTATGTATTTTCGTGTAAAATGCCAGTTCTGCTGCACGGAGGGATAATCCATTTAACTGGATATTCTAGTGGGAGTATACCTCTCGTGCAGCAGTGAATGATGGGAGAAAGGTCCAGGTTGTTAAGTTTCCCATGTAGTCCCCTACTGTCCAACCCCTGTAATGTCAGTAGGGAAACCCTTGCATGGGGAATCCCATAAATACTGTGACCTGTGATTAAAAGCTGAATTGACTCCCAGCCTATGTGTCGTCTAGTTCTTGGGAAGGAAGGATTTATACAACGCTACCAGGATTATTGCATGCTGTACTTATTTTGCTTGAAGGATTTTATGCAGTTTCTGTTACCTAGCGGAGATACTGTGGATTATACTACCTCTCCGCTACACCCACAAAAGTCTTATCACCTGATAGCCCCGATCTTGGGGACCAACATCCAAAAATCACTCAGATCGGTTCAGGGGTTTGGGATTTACATGGAAGTCATAATTTTACCGACCGCACACAAGTAATTTAAAAACCAAACATAGTCAATAGTCTTACCCTGGAGCTTGTTCCCTTCATCCAGACGAACGATTCCACCGAACAGTGCCCTTCTAAGTTGTGTATAACCGAACGCAGGCAATGATTGAAGTCTAGTGGTGTTCAGGAGTTTCCGTGTGTGATTTTAGTTCCAGGAATTAAACGACCAAACACCACTGCTAGCGCTTATGCGAACAAGATGGCCACCACCTCGTGGTCGTTCACAGTGGCCATCCAGACAAACAATTAGAACACTGTGGTTAGAATCGTTACCAAGTGTTAATAGGGTGGTCTCTAGTTCTTGCGGCTGTTTGGTTCCCGAACCACATAATCCCAATAGCACGAACAGAGCCTTTTTAAAGTATATTAGCCAAGTTCTATTGTAGGGGCTATAGTCCTGAGGCAGGAGGCTGGCAAGTAGGCCCCTCCAATAACACGTGGCACCATTAAAATTGAGTCCTGCTTAACTCTGAACAAGTAGCTTGATCTCGTGATTGGAGGGGAACTGTTATATTTACACTGGGGATTGCTATAATCCGTATACTCCCCTGGGGCTAAATCACTGCCTCTTATAAGAGCTGTTCCTGCTATGCTCTCTGGAGTAGGAGACATCTTTTCCACACGGTCCTGGATATCAGAGGTTCGTCCAGATAGATAGATAGATAGATAGATAGATATGAAAAATAAAGTTGTGCTTAAACGTGCATACTCTTGGAGCATTGGCAATATATGTACCATTTTTAAAGAAAACATGAGTCAGCAGGCAAAACACATTTATTATATTTCTTATGGGATTCATATTCAACTGTAGGCTATAATAGAATGACAAACATGGCAACAAAGAAAAAAAAAGGAATGACCCCGTTCAAAATTCTGCATACCCTTAGTTCTTAAGCATCAATTTTAGCATCAATTACAGAATGCAGTCTTTTGTAGTAAAAACAAGGAAAGGTAAAGAACAGGCAAAAGCTTAGAGAAACTCAGTAGCTTGCCCTTCAGTAAATCCCTGCTCAGGTCTCAAAATAGTTTATGCTCACTTGTGCCATTACAGCATTACAGAACATATTTGAAGCATACCCAGGACATACTTGAAACAAGAGAAATCTCAATGTATCCATCCTAGTAAAATATTTTATAAATAAATGAATATCAGACTAATCCCACTTGTATGGGCAGTCCAGAACTGAAAAGTTCTCTCTGCACAAGAGATATAGAAACCCCAGTCAATCGTTTCAGCTTTCAATGGGCATCGTCAGTGAGGTGTAGCTAATATCCCTCTGATATTCCTCCTTTGTTATAGTTGTCTATGAGGTCCCTAATAGAGTTGAGCGAACCCAGACTGTAAAGTTCAGGTTCGTATTGAACATTACGTTTTTTGGACCCAGGACCAGAACATGGATATATCACTGAATGTTACGGTTGGAGTTCAGTGTTCGGCAATTTAATGACGCGTTTTGAAAGGCTGCAGGGCAGCCAATCAACAAGCGTTTGACTTGTTTGCCTTTAGAAGTCATCACAGCCATGCCTACTAATGGCATGGCTGTGATTGGCCAGTGCAGCATGTGACCCAGGCTCTATATATAAGCTGGAGTTACGTAGCACCGCACGCACATGAGCTCTTATTAGTGTAGGGAGAGGATGCTGCCGCTTTCAGGGACAGATTAGGAAAGAATTCTGCAAACTAATACATTAGTGGGCTGCACTTCATATCTGAGAGTCAAATAGTAGCGTCAAATACTGCGGTTATATCTAAGTTTTAAAAAGTCAATTTTTTGGGGTACTAAAAAGTACATTAGTGGGGTGCACTTCATATCTGAGAGTACTTTTCAGTTACAGCGCAGTTGTAAAAGTTCTAATTGTTTTGGTGCTAAATTGCTAAATAGTAAATTTGGGGCGTGCTCTTCATATCTGAAAGTCAAATAGAAGAGTCAAATACTGCGGTTACAGCGCAATTGCAAACATTCTTATTTTCTGGGTGCTAATCTGCTAAATAATAAATTTGGGCCCTGCACTTCATATCTGAGAGTCAAATAGAAGCGTCAAATAGTGCGGTTATAGCGCAGTTGTAAACATTCTTATTTTCTGGTGCTAATCTGCTAAATAGTAAATTTGGGGCGTGCTCTTCATATCGAGATTCAAACAGAAGCGTCAAATACTGCGGTTACAGCGCAGTTGTAAAAATTCTAATTGTTTTGGTGCTAAACTGCTAAATAGTAAATTTGGGGCGTGCTCTTCATATCCGAGAGTCAAATAGAAGCATCAAATAGTGCGGTTACAGCGCAATTGTAAACATTCTTATTTTCTGGGTGCTGATCTGCTAAATAGTAAATTTGGGGCATGCGCTTCATATCTGAGAGTCAAATAGAAGCGTCAAATAGTGCGGTTACAGCGCAGTTGTAAAAATTCTAATTGTTTGGGTGATAAACTGCTAAATAGTAAATTTGGGGCATGCTCTTCATATCTGAGAGTCAAATAGAAGCTTCAAATACTGCGGTTACAGCGCAATTGCAAACATTCTTATTTTCTGGGTGCTAATCTGCTAAATAATAAATTTGGGCCCTGCACTTCATATCTGAGAGTCAAATAGAAGCGTCAAATAGTGCGGTTACAGCGCAATTGTAAACATTCTTATTTTCTGGGTGCTACTCTGCTAAATAGTAAATTTGGGCCCTGCACTTCATATCTGAGAGTCAAATAGAAGCGTCAAATAGTGCGGTTATAGCGCAGTTGTAAAAATTCTAATTGTTTCGGCGATAAACTGCTAAATAGTACATTTTGGGTGTTCTCTTTGTGACGAGAGCAATCTTGACACATTGCATTGGAGAAGCCTGGTTGCTCGCCTGCTGCCTTTGGACTATGGCCCCATGTTAAAAGACATCTTTTTCACTGCAGAAAAGACTTATTCGTGCTTTTCTGCCCGGTGTTCGGTAGATTCTCGGATTTACTGAATGAACTCATATAACCCAGATAGGTATGCCATGGAGCCTATTCATGTAATAAAAGACTTTGGCTCCATGGCAATTGAACTGTATGTGTTTGCGGTCTGAGCGCCATTCAGTATTAATGTGCTCAGACCTAAGCTATCTGGGGAATATGTTATGTCTGAACTTTTTGCTGCCATGTGTTTTTTTTTTTGTTTTTAATAAAAAAAACACATGGCAGCAAAAAGACAGTAAAATACAATAAAATACACAAGGTTACATTTATGACATAAAATACAGACATGCAACATATGCCCAGATAGCTTAGGTCTGAGTGCACATTAATACTGAATGGCGCTCAGACCACAAACACATACAGTTCAATTGCCATGGAGACAAAGTCTTTTATTACATGAATAGGCTCCATGGCATACCTATCTGGGTTATATGAGTTCATTCAGTAAATCCGAGAATCTACCGAACACCGGGCAGAAAAGCACAAATAAGTCTTTTCTGCAGTGAAAAAAGATTTCTTTTAACATGGGGCCATAGTCCAAAGGCAGCAGGCGAGCAACCAGGCTTCTCCAATGCAATGTGGCGAGATTGGTCTCGTCACACTCTTCATATCGAGATTCAAAGAGAAGCGTCAAATACTGCGGTTACAGCACAGTTGTAAAAATTCTAATTGTTTTGGTGCTAAACTGCTAAATAGTAAATTTGGGGCGTGCTCTTCATATCCGAAAGTCAAATAGAAGCGTCAAATAGTGCGGTTACAGCGCAATTGTAAACATTCTTATTTTCTGGGTGCTGATCTGCTAAATAGTAAATTTGGGGCATGCGCTTCATATCTGAGAGTCAAATAGAAGCGTCAAATAGTGCGGTTACAGCGCAGTTGTAAAAATTCTAATTGTTTGGGTGATAAACTGCTAAATAGTAAATTTGGGGCATGCTCTTCATATCTGAGAGTCAAATAGAAGCTTCAAATACTGCGGTTACAGCACAGTTGTAAAAATTCTAATTGTTTTGGTGCTAAACTGCTAAATAGTACATTTGGGGCATGCTCTTCATATCTGAGAGTCAAATAGAAGTGTCAAATAGTGCGGTTACAGCGCAATTGTAAACATTCTTATTTTCTGGGTGCTAATCTGCTAAATAGTAAACTTGGGCCCTGCACTTCATATCTGAGAGTCAAATAGAAGCGTCAAATAGTGCGGTTACAGCGCATTTGTAAACATTCTTATTTTCGGGGTGCTAAACTGTTAAATAGTAAATTTGGGGTGTGCTCTTCATATCTGAGAGTCAAATAGAAGCGTCAAATACTGCGGTTACAGCGCAGTTGTAAAAATTCTAATTGTTTTGGTGCTAATCTGCTAAATAGTAAATTTGGGGCGTGCTCTTCATATCTGAGAGTCAAATAGAAGCATCAAATACTGTGGTTACAGCGCAATTTTAAACATTCTTATTTTCTGGGTGCTAATCTGCTAAATAGTAAATTTGGGGCATGCTCTTCATATCTGAGAGTCAAATAGAAGTGTCAAATAGTGCGGTTACAGAGCATTTGTAAACATTCTTATTTTCGGGGTGCTAATCTGCTAAATAGTAAATTTGGGGCATGCTCTTCATATCTGAGAGTCAAATAGAAGCGTCAAATACTGTGGTTACAGCGCAATTGTAAACATTCTTATTTTCTGGTGCTAATCTGCTAAATAGTAAATTTGGGGCGTGCTCTTCATATCGAGATTCAAACAGAAGCGTCAAATACTGCGGTTACAGCGCAGTTGTAAAAATTCTAATTGTTTTGGTGCTAAACTGCTAAATAGTAAATTTGGGGCGTGCTCTTCATATCCGAGAGTCAAATAGAAGCATCAAATAGTGCGGTTACAGCGCAATTGTAAACATTCTTATTTTCTGGGTGCTGATCTGCTAAATAGTAAATTTGGGGCATGCGCTTCATATCTGAGAGTCAAATAGAAGCGTCAAATAGTGCGGTTACAGCGCAGTTGTAAAAATTCTAATTGTTTGGGTGATAAACTGCTAAATAGTAAATTTGGGGCATGCTCTTCATATCTGAGAGTCAAATAGAAGCTTCAAATACTGCGGTTACAGCGCAATTGCAAACATTCTTATTTTCTGGGTGCTAATCTGCTAAATAATAAATTTGGGCCCTGCACTTCATATCTGAGAGTCAAATAGAAGCGTCAAATAGTGCGGTTACAGCGCAATTGTAAACATTCTTATTTTCTGGGTGCTAAACTGCTAAATAGTAAATTTGGGGTGTGCTCTTCATATCTGAGAGTCAAATAGAAGCGTCAAATACTGCGGTTACAGCGCATTGTAAAAATTCTAATTGTTTTGGTGCTAAACTGCTAAATAGTAAATTTGGGGCGTGCTCTTCATATCTGAGAGTCAAATAGAAGCGTCAAATACTGCGGTTACAGCGCAGTTGTAAAAATTCTAATTGTTTTGGTGCTAATCTGCTAAATAGTAAATTTGGGGCGTGCTCTTCATATCTGAGAGTCAAATAGAAGCATCAAATACTGTGGTTACAGCGCAATTTTAAACATTCTTATTTTCTGGGTGCTAATCTGCTAAATAGTAAATTTGGGGCATGCTCTTCATATCTGAGAGTCAAATAGAAGTGTCAAATAGTGCGGTTACAGAGCATTTGTAAACATTCTTATTTTCGGGGTGCTAATCTGCTAAATAGTATATTTGGGGCATGCTCTTCATATCTGAGAGTCAAATAGAAGCGTCAAATACTGTGGTTACAGCGCAATTGTAAACATTCTTATTTTCTGGTGCTAATCTGCTAAATAGTAAATTTGGGGCGTGCTCTTCATATCTGAGAGTCAAATAGAAGCGTCAAATAGTGCGGTTACAGCGCAGTTGTAAAAATTCTAATTGTTTTGGTGCTAAACTGCTAAATAGTACATTTGGGGCATGCTCTTCATATCTGAGAGTCAAATAGAAGTGTCAAATACTTGTGGTGCTAAACTGCTAATTCTAAACACATTTGGGGCATGCTCTTCATGCTATATCTGAGAGTCAAATAGAAGTGTCAAATACTGTGGTTACAGCGCAATTCTAAACATTATTATTTTATGGGTGCTAATCTGCTAAATAGTAAACTTGGGCCCTGCAATTCATATCTGAGAGTCAAATAGAAGCGTCAAATACTGCGGTCAGGGTAGGGCTGGCAGCCTTAGGCCTGGGGGGCAAAACCAGTCAAGTGGCCCTTTGCACCACCAAATCAGTTCACCATCCATGCCCACCTTTTCCTGGTTTTATAACGGATATTGATGTTATGCTAATCAGTAGCTCTTTGCCATACCTGCTCCTTCACGGCTCCGACTTTCAATGTTGTCAGAGCGCAGGCTGAGAATCTCTGTGCCTGTGCTCTGACTCACTAACTGAGCGCCGGAACCACGAGGGAGAGGATATGATCTGACTGCACCTACTGCTGGTGTGCACCAGTGGACCACCAGCGAATCGTTTAAATTGAATATGCTTGTGTACCCAACTTGTGAGCTGTGTTGGCCGCCGGGCGCCTCTGTTGTCATGGTACCGTGCGTGACCGCACAGCGTGCACACCCCAACGGCTGGCCCTGCTGGCACACACTGATGTTACTACTTAGAAATCCCTCAATATTAATACAGACATCAGAGTAAACACCAATAAACTGTTGAAACAGAGCTGATCCGCCCATATTTATAAAGATTTGCTTAGTTGATTTGTTGTAAGATGAAATCATGCCTCCTCCTCTCTCTCTCTCTCTCTCCCATGCGCTGCTCTGTAGGCTGGGAGGAAGTAAAGAGTAATCACATTTTCCCAGCACAGCGCCACCTGTGGCTGCATGGGGAACAGCTGTTTAATGTAATGCTTGCAGGACGGCCAGCTGCCGCAAAACCTCTTTGTTCCCGTATCTGCAAATGGCTCCAGGCACTGCTTGTTGTGAGTGTGAGCCACTGTAAATTAGGGGCAGAGGGCACTTGCACTGCTGTAAAGATGGGTCTGGGCAGGAGGAGAGTGCAGTGCAATCAGTGCACTCCCCTCCTGTGGGTCACCAGTAGACTGGTGCACCTGCCCAGGATCAGAGCTTGTGCAAGGATTTTTGCCTCCCTAGACAAAAGAAAAGACACAATGCCCCACCCATATGTTCTGCCATATGCACGAACGCCAGTGCTGCACACAGTGTGTGTTTACATTAAAAAGTCTGCAGGGACCGGCTATAGACACCAGAACCACTTCATTAAGCTATAGTGTCCCTTTAATGTGAGGCTGGAGTCCACGTCTTAGAGTAGACACTGGCGCTCAAATTCTTGTAAAAAGTCATCGATGCCTTCTGCTTCATTGAAGTCTTTGAAGGCATTGTATGGTAGCTTGTGTGCCAGGGTGGTTGTTCTTCCCGGCGCCCTCTGTGCTCCCTTCTTCCTTCATCTGGGTTCATGGAGGTCGCCTTCTGTCTATTGGCAAAGACATAGGCTTGCACCTCCAAAAAGGTCCGGCTGACAATCTCCTCTGATGGTGGCTCTCGGTAATTTGCCAGGCGGCGTTACACCTCCTTGCGCACTTCCTCTTCATCTCCGGCCCCTGGCTGGGGTTCATTGCCTCACTGCGTGCCTGGTCATCCTCCATGAGCATAGCAGTCAATTCGGCCTTGTTACGCCCACCAGGCGTTATTCCTCTTGCTCCACACAAGTGGAGGTCGCTTTAGAGCACTGTAGTCCATGGGTCTGTTGGCAGGGACATGGGATCCCGCCACTTGCCACCAATTGAAGCAGGACCAGGATAACTGATGGTTATCCCCTTTGATTAGAATAGGTCAAACCCATTTCTCCCAGTAACTGAATGGGACACAGTTCCAAGATACAAAGTTTCACAATCTTTATTTGTGTACACAGTTTTGCCTCCTGTTGCCTCCTCCTCCTACTCAGCTTCTTCCTCCTCCTCCTCTACCACTTCCTCATCCGGTCAGTGTAACACCTTCACCACCAACTTCAGCACAGCCAGGGAGAAATGACAGCAGGCTGTTTTCAAACTCATATGTTTGGGGGAAAAAACCCACACTGCGCAGGAGCTGTGGACGGGCATGAAACAACAGACCGATGAGTGGTTGTTGCCACTGAGCCTCAAGCCCGGCCTGGTGGTGTGCGATAATGGGAATCTACCGAACAACTGGCAGAAAAGCACCGGCAGAAAAGCACGAATACAGCTTTTCTTCAGGCGAAACAAAGTCTTTTAACATGGGGGCCATAGTCCAAAGGCAGCAGGCGAGCAACCAGGCTTCTCCAATGCAATGTGGCGAGATTGGTCTCGTCACAATATATATATATATATATATATATATATATATATATATATAAAAACAGTGTAGCTACCTCCTCCCCCTCCATCCATCTAGTGGTATTTTATGGCTCAACTGTATTTTTAATTTTTATGTTACTTTAAGTGATTTTCCTATCCACATTTGTTTGCAGGGCACTTGTCTTACTCTTACCCCTATTTTACTTCATTTTGCAGCCCTCTAGCCATTTCCAGGACTTTTTTAGACAAATTTTTGCGCCCAAAAATTCAGGTCCACATTGAGCGCTATTCGCCAATAAAATGCACTCAGATCCAGGCTATCTGGGGATGTGTTACACGAATGAGAAATGTTCGGCAATTATAAAGTTATATATTTTTATGTGTTTTATGATTTGTATTTAAAATGGCGATTTGCCTCTGCTCTGGGAAATAATTGAATTACTTCTCAATTATCTCCCGAGCAGAGGGGAGGAAACTGTGATGTATGCTGGGAATATTGTGTGACTGTATGTCCTGAAATGCCATATGTCCATCTGCTATTCCAGTCTCCCATTTGGTCCCCTAGGGGAGTGTCCACCAAGTGGGAGACCTGCATAAATACGGGCGGGTAGCCCCCAGTAAACTCAGTTTGTGTTTTACCCTCAATGCGGAGCTTGGTCTCGTTATTGGGGGGATTTTATTACTGGCGACTAGAGACTGCTATATGGGATTATTAGCCGCTTGGGAGATACCGACGTTCGGCTGCTATTGATGGTTCGTGAGCTTGAAGCTCGTGGAGGGAAGTGACCGTATGGATACCGTTCGGGAGTTTGGAGTGTTCCCTAGCTAGCGGCATGATTGTATTGGATACGCATACAACCTACATTATTGCGAACGGGGAGCATTCACTAAACGGCGGTTTGTACATTTCATGCTGAAGGTACCGTAACAGTTATCATTATGATTTATACACAAGCCAAACAACTATGTGATAATAAATGCCTTTATATGATCACTATCTTTCGAAAGAAGACATTTATTGAAACCATTATCAGTCATATTTTTTAAATAAAAAAAAAAACATCTGCTAGGGTATGCAACTGTAGATAGATTAGATAGATACATACATACATACATACATACATTGATAGCCATACATAGAGATTTATCTATCTAGATAGATACACCACAAACAGACACTAATTGCAATTTAAAAAACCACATGTGTGGGAAATTAACCTTTAATTGCCATTGTAACCTGTGTGTGTAACCTTGTGAAGTGAATAAAATTGATTATGTTGTTACAATGGCATCTGTCAAGGATTGATATATATATATAAAGCAACATGTGAACAGCCAGTTCTTAAATTTAAACGACCACTATAGGTGCCAGGAAAACAAAATTGTTTGCCCCCACCCTCAGGGTCCCCCTCCCGCCGGGCTGAAGTTGGAGGAAGGGGTTAAACACTTATCTTTCTCCAGCGCCGGTTTCCCTCGGTGCTGGGGACTCTCCTCCTCCTTCCAACGTCATCGGCATTCATTCTCAATGCTTTCCTATGGACGCTGGTGTCTTCTCACTGTGAAAATCACAGTGAGAAACGCAGAAGCGCCTCTAGCGGCTGTCAATGAGACAGCCACTAGAGGCTGGATTAACCCATATGTAAACATAGCAGTTTCTCTGAAACTGCTATGTTTATAGCAGGCGGGGTTAATCCTAGATGGACCTGGCACCCAGACCACTTCATGAAGTGGTCTGGGTGATTATAGTGGTGCTTTAATATGTCTGAAGCAGTAAAAATGGTCAATCGAAAAGATCTGAGTGACTTTGACAAGGGCCAAATAGTGATGGCTAGATGACTGGGTCAGGGCACCTTCAGTCTTGTGGTGTGTTCCGGGTATGCAGTAGTAGTATACATACATTGATACATCCATACATAGATGTGGAAGATCTCCCTGCCTCTGGATTATTATTTAAAACCTATTTTGTCTGTTTCTTCGTCAGTTCCCGGTTGTTCATATGTTTCTTGCTTGCATTCATAAAAAGATGAATTAACTACCAAATGGCAGGCCACCCAGCAGGGAAGTGTGCTGCTCATTAACCTTTCTGCCCTTATTAACATTGTGGTTAACCGCAGACACTTCCAACTCCCGAACGGTCGGCTGGGTGGTCGTCGTTCGCATGAATGAACACAAACGCATAACGGCGACCATCTTGGACAGTCGACAGCCCAGCGGTGTTCATCGACAACCACATGGAACTCATTTCAGACACTGCTCCTACAAACACCGCTGAGAACACCAACCATCCATCGCTTTGTTTCAATTCATACGAACGCCGTGCCGTTCGGTAAATTGACATTACACAAACAGAACTGTACCAGATAGTAAACCCATGGAGCTCATTTGTTTCGTCAAATGCACAATGTACAAACTTTAACTTCATGGCAATTTTACTATATGTATGGGATCTGATCGCTGTTGGGTTATATTGAGCGCTCAGATCTAAGCTATCTGGGGATACGTTGAGTGTGGGGTTCCGTTCGGTATATTAAGAAATATGTATTTTATGTTGGTTTTATTGTAAAATTAGGATATTCTCTATCCCTGGAGGTAATTGAGTTACTTCAAGCACTTAACCCAATTATCTCCAGGATAGAGAGGAGGAGTTGTACTGCTTATGTTGGAGTGTTTCCGTACTGTACATACTGTACGTGATTGGATATTGTAAAAACTGTCTCAGTCTTCCACAAGGCTTCACCTACTCGGGGTGCCTTTACAATAGAGATCTATCTAACTCTATCTTGATAGATACACCACACACAGACACTAACTGCAATTTAAAAAGCCACATGTGTGGGAAATTAACCTTTAATTGCCATTTTATTTATTTACTTCAACTGACAGTGGTTTAATGTTGTTGCTGATCAGTGTATGCATGTGAGTGTGTTTCCAAATATTCTCAACAAAAAATGGTTGGGTATAGAGCAAAACACAAAAAAATCTACAGTGAGAGAGGTGTCATCATATATTTCTGCCCTGTGTGCCAATAAACCTAGGTACATCTCTAGTATTGGCTTCTCTCTCCTTCATCTCCTTCTCCCATACAAGACAGTGTTGTGCATAGCTCTTCATGGTTGATTGGTATACTTTTATTATTTTTCCATTGACTTAACTAAATAGCTTACTCCAGCTATCTGCGTTGCTGCGTTGCTGCAGAATTAGGATTAGGCTCTTGGACCATTTCATTATTCATTGGGGTTTTTTTTTTGTTTGTTTGTTTTGTTTAGTTTGCTTTTTATTTTCTTTTTTTATTATATGCATAGTAAGATAGACAAGTTCCACAACAAACATGATTTTACCTCTCGTGTGTTGTGAATAACCTTTGCCTCAATGTCATATCTTTCCTCGTCCACAATTCCAACCTTCTCATGTAGTTCTCTACACAATTCCTGTTAGAATATAAGAAATCCTAATTTAGTACACTGATTTTAATATTTATTAAACCCCCTTCTTGGTGCAGCCAACATAAGATAATGCACAATGCACCTCAGTTCAGATCAAATTCAACTTTATTATCACTGTACAGTGTACATACAAGGACAACAAAACACTATTGGCCTCTGATCAGAAATACAATAGCCATTTAAAAAATATACTATTTTAAAAAAATGTACTCTCAGTGTAACCTATGCAATCCTAACCTAATGCGATAGTACCTCAAGTACCTAAGAAATTCAATCCCTTCATCATTAATAATTAAAATCTTTAACAGTCACTAATATTACAAATTCAATAATATAGCCTATAGCCCCCAATCCAAGTAAAATATCTATACCATAAAAAACATTTATACCTTGTGCAAATAAAGTGTACTACCGTACAATTAACACAATCTAGTGCAAATAAAGTACTTAGTCTCAACAATATACCTTTATCATGATATCATGTGAAAAATAAGCACGTGCCACAATTTAACTAGCCACATCCGCCATACACACAGAACACAAACTGCAACACCTCACTCTTTACCTGTAAGGCAGCTGATGTCATGCCATGGCTGTTGGCACGAGGCACTCTCTCACTCAGGTATCTTTCTTTTTCCAACTGTGTATTTACATGTTCTTGATCCCATGCCTCCTTTGCCTTTGCTAACATCAAACTCTTTAAGAAATGTAAAAAAAAAAAGTGAGAGAAATGCCCCTCCTATTCATGACTTTTGCCATGCTCCGCATGCAATTTCTGTTCTTAATAGATTTTGGTTTTGCAACCAACCGTCAATCATCTTTTTTATTTTAATATATATATATATATATATATATATATATATATATATATTATTTCTAGTATTTCAATATTTTTCCAAGGCGCCCCAAGTCAAAACAAATGTCAAGGTTGTTTAAATATTCAGCGCTAAGGCATATACTTGTTACCAGTTTAGCAGAAATGTTTCCTGGTCAGGGGCAGATCCAGAACCTAATCTTGGGAGGGGCACTGGTAGATTATTTAAAGAAACAATCCAGGCACAATAACCACTACAGAACTCTGTACTCGTTATGGTGCAAGGAGTTCCGTTGTGCTCTCCCAGTGTAAGTAGTGAAACTGTTTAGGAACAGTTTGACAACTTACCTGGGATCTGCCGAGATAGGGGCTGTAGTAGGGGATAGAGGCATTAGTGTGTGTGAGGGGTGCAATGTGTGTGGGGTGAAGTGTGTGTGTGAGGGGTGCAATGTGTGTGTGTGTGAGGGATGACGGATACAGTATGTGTGTGTAAGGGGTGCATTGGGTGTGTGAGAGGGGTGCAGTATGTGAGTGTGTGCATGTGGGTTTGAGGGGTGCAGTGGGGGTTTGAGGGGTTTGTGAAGGATGTAGTATGGGGTGAAATGTGTGTGTGACGGGTGTAATGTGTGTATGAGAGGGGTGCAGTATGTGTGTGAGGGGTGCAGTGTGTGTGTGTGGTGAAGTGTGTATGTGTGTGTATCTGTGTGTGTGTGAGGGGTGCATAGTGTGTGTGTATGTGCAAGGGTTGGCAGTGTGTGTCAAGGGTACAGTGTGTGTGTGGGGGGGTGGGCACTGTATGTGAGGGGTACAGTGTGGGCGGTATGTGTGAGGGAACAATGTGTGTATGAGAGGAGTTGTTGGGGGTCTGTGGGGATAGAAAGGCAGATAAATATATAAAACATTTTAAATTAAAAAAATAATAATTTTCATATCCCCCCTTCTTACCTTTGCCTGGAAGGGGGGCAGTACTAAACCCTGGTGGTCTGGTGGAGAAGCCCTGGTAGTCTAAGTGGTGAGAGTAAACTCTAGTCTGCAGCTCCTGAGGCTAGAATTCACTCTCACAAGATTCATAGCGTTGCCATAACATTGCAAGTTAGAGCTCCCCCGAGGTATGGCACGGTTCCTGGTGTATGATCAGGGGTGGTGTCCCTGTGTGTCCATCGCGGAGCCCCATGGCAACGCGCCACAGAGTTTGGGAACTGCTGTTCTAAAAAGAATAACCACCAGAATGCTTGCTGGTTTCGATAGTAATTTTCCTACTTGTGGTACTTAGTTACTAATTAGTACTAGTTAGAACAGAGCTCTTTGAAATGATTATTGTTATTAACATCACAAATTACAGTCTTTCAACCTCATCTGCTGTCATAAAACACTCTTCCTATCTCTTTATGGCATTTCCATCTTATCAATTACTTATCCAAGTAATTACCTTTAAAAGAAGTTTTCGAGAAGCTGAGATTTTTGATTTTCTCTTTAAAAAAAAAAAAAGAAGAAGAAGCAAAACGTATAAATAAAAAGGATAGCAATGACAAAAGTGACATAAAACATTTGTAGACTTAAGATGATATGTGAAGTGGTAACTTGAACATGATTAAAAGAAAACTATAAATGTTCTTACCTCTCTGACATTGTATAAGGAAATAAAAAAGAGAAAAACATATATATTAATATTGTCAATACAAAATATTCAGGTAAGTAAAAAAATGAAAGTAAGGAGCAAGAATAGATAGATAATATATACTCACGGTTCAGGCATGATGACACTTTAAGAGTCCACCTGAATTGACAGATAAGAAGTCTGTTATATGGGTGCCCCCACACATATTAGCTACCATAGTTTAAGTGTATGTGACGTGTATATATATATATATATATATATATATATATATATATATATATATATATGTGTGTGTATATTTATATATATAATTTATTATTTAGAGTATATATATATATATATATATATATATATATGTATATATATATATATATATATATATCTTCTTACAGAACTTTAGTAGGGATAGGGGCTATAATAATGGGAATTAAGGAAGGTAGGGGAAGAATTGTGGTGTGGAGGATCAGGGTGATTGTGGGGGATAGGAACAGTATTGTGAGGAATGGGTTGGTATTGTGTTTGGATTAGAACTTTGGTGTGGGGGGATAGGAGCAGTAGTATTGTGGGGTGGTAGGGGAAGTATTGTGAGGATAGGAGCAGTGTTGTGGGGGATTGGGGCTTTAATTTGTGGACAGGGACAGAATTGTGGTGGGGGCAGTGTTAGGGGGGATAGAGGAAGTATTTGTGGGGTGGTAGAGGCAGTATTGTGGGGAGTTGGTTTTAGTGGGGGAATAAGGCCAAAATTGTGGGGATGGGGCAGTATTATAGGGGATAGGATAAGTATTTGTGGGGTGGTAGGGGAAGTATTGTGGGGGACAGGAGCAGTATTGTGAGATGGTAGGGGCAGTCTTGTGGGGGAGTGGGATTTAGTGGGGGAAAAGACAGCAGTGTTGATGGTGGGGGCAGTATTAGGGGGATAGGAAAAGTATTGTGAGGTTGTAGAGGTCGTATTGTGGAGATATGAGCAGTATTGTAAGGTGGTAGGGGTAGTATTGAGGGGGAGTGGAAGTTAAGTACGGATAGGGACTTTAATATTGAGAATTTAGTAGGGCTTTGGTGTGGGGGGTAGGAGCAGTATTGTCGAGTGGTGGGGCAGTATTGTGTGGTGGGGGAGCATTGGGGCAGCATTGTGGGGACTGTAATAGGTGGTATTGGAGAAGTATTGTGGGTTGGTAGAGGCAGCCTTGTGAGGCAGCTGGACTTTAGTAGGAGTAGGGGCAGTATTGTGGGGGACAGAAGTAGGATTGTGGGGTGATAGGGGAAGTATTGTGAGGATAAGAGCAGTATTGTGGTGAATGGGGCTTTAGTGGGAGGACAGGGACAGAATTGTTGGGGGGCAAAAGTATTTGGGAGGTGGTAGAGGTAGTTTTGTGGGGTTGTAGGGGGCAGTATTGTGGGGAGTTGGTTTTAGTGGGGGAATAGGGCCAGAATTGTGGAGATGTGGGCAGTATTAGGGGGGATAGCAGAAGTATTTGTGGGGTGGTAGAGGCAGCATTGTGGGCAGGGCCAGCGCGTTCATAAGGAGGCACAGGCAGCCAACTTAGGGTGCCAGAGTAGGGGGGCAAAAATCTGAATCCCCTGCCTCTGGCTGGGGACTCAGATTTTTCTAATTACCTTTTCCCCTGCATTCTGCAGCCATCACACAGCAGCAATTGAAGTTGGCCGGCCACTCCTGATGATGTCAGGAGGAGGGGGAGTGACTTCCACTGCTCTTCTCCCTGACTCCCCAGCAGATAGGAGAAGAGCAGTGGAAGTCACACCTCCTCCTCCTGACATCATCAGGAGAGGCTGGCCGACTTCAATTGCTGCTGTGTGATGGCTGCAGGCTCCAGCTCCTGTCTCATCCCTCGTGGCCCAGCGGATGGCAGAAGAGCAGTGGAAGTCACACCTCCTCCTCCTGACATCATCAGGAGTGGCTAGCCGACTTCAATTGCTGCTGTGTGATGGCTGCAGGCTCCAGCTCCTGTTTCACCCCTCCCTAGCCCAAGGTAAGCCTCAGGGAAGGGGGATACTTTTTTTTATTAAATCCATTTTTATTTGTTTTGACAGCCCCTGTCCAACCCCCCTGTGCACCCACCCTGTGCACCCACCTCAGGCCCTGTGTCCCTTTCTAGAGCTTCTGTGCCCCCCACCAGGAGCAGTATTTGAGGGTTGGTAGAGGCAACATTGTGGGGTGGTAGGGGAAGTATTTTGGGGGACAGGAGCAGTATTGTGTGGTGGTAGGGGTTGTATTGCGGGGTGGTATGAGCAGTATTGTGGGGGAGTGTGCTTTAGTGCATGGAGCAGTGTGGATGGTGTGGCAGTTTTGGGGGGATAAGAGAAGTATTGTGGGGTTGTAGAGGCCATATTGTGGGGGATATGAGCTGTGTTGTGAGGTGGTAGGGGTAGTATTGTGGGGGAGTGGGAGTTAAGTAGGCATAGGGACTTTAATATTGGGAATTTATAAGGGCTTTGGTGTGGGGAGGTAGGAGCAGTATTATCGAGTGATGGGGCAGTATTGTGTGGTGGGGAGCATTGGGGCAGCATTGTGCGGCAGTAATAGGGGGTATAGGAGAAGTGGTGTGGTAGGGGCAGTATTGTGAGGGAGTGGGACTTTAGTATGGGGTAGGGGCAGTATTGTGGGGGATAGGAGCAGCATTGAGGTGTGGTACACTATACTACTCTACCCCCTACTAAAGTCCCACTCCCTCGCAGTATTGTGGGGGTCAAGAGTAGTATTGTGGGGTGGTAGGGGAAGCATTATGAGGATAGGAGTGCAGTATTGTGGGGGAGTGGGGCTTTAGTGGGGGGGGGACAGGGACAGATTTGTCGGGGGCAGTGTTAGGGGGCACAGGTGAAGTATTTGGGGGTGATAGAGGCAGTATTGTGGAGTTGTAGGGGCAGTATTGTGGGGAAATAGGGCCAGAATTGTGGTGATGTGGGAAGTGTTAGGGGAAGATAGAAGTATTTATGGGTGGTAGAGGCAGCATTGCAAGGATAGGAGCAGTATTGTGGGGTGGTAGGGAATGTATTGTGGGGTGGTAGGGGAAGTATTGTGGGGACAGGTGCAGTATTGTGGGCTGGTAGGGGAAGTATTGTGTGAGATTGGAACAATATTGTGGGGTGGTAGGGGCACTATTATGGGGGAGTGGGCTTTAGTGGGAGGATAGGGCAGCAGTGTTGATGGTGAGGGCAGTATTAGGGGATAGGAGAAGTATTATGGGACTGTAAAGGCCGTATTGTGGGGGATATGAGCTGTATTGTGGGGTGGTAGGAGTAGTATTGTGGTGGAGTGGGAGTTAAGTAGGGATAGTGTAGAATATTACATATTCCATATGTTCCTTTTCAAATACATATTAAGTTGTGTATGTCTAATGGATTAAAAAGAACAGATGGTGTTTGCTATTCTGTACCATGAGGACTCTGGAATATGCTGTATAGGGAGATTGGGGTAGGGTCCTTATATGGGGAGTTTCCTTTTATGGCCAGAGTCTAAATTAAAAGTTATGACATAATTTTGCCTATAAAAAACTGAGGACAAAGGACTACGTTCTCTTCTCCTACTCTTCACTCTCCTCTCCTGGTGTGTCCTGAATTGATGATATAAAGACAACTACGTAAAAAGATCTCTCACTCTCTGTAACCTCGTTAAGAAATACCATCTGTTAAGTATATTATTGTTTGCTTTTGAAGTAGAATAAATGCATATTTTTTATAAAGAATGTCAGATTGCATATTAGTACTTTTTGGTTAAAATAGCTGTATATTAACCTGGCGGTAAAGACTTATTCAACACAAACCAGATATAACATTGGCAAGCCAAGCCAGGCTTTTTTTTTTTTTTTGGTCATTCACACTTTAATTAGGGGGGTAGTAATACAGAGGAAGAGAGAGAGGACAGATGGCATTACTTTTTTGTGAAAGCAGCTTGAATTGAAGTGTGTGCAACCAGAAAAAGAAAAGAACTGTGTGTGTGTAAGAAGAAAAAGATTTTTCAAATCACAAAGACTGTTCCAAGATTATTTTCTACAACAGAGAAAAGCACGTTATAAAGAAAACAGCACAAGATGCGCTATTCTACAAGCAAGCACATGGCAGATATTGGCAAGTGTCCAGAAGAAAATCCACAGTGCGCAGCTGTTCGAGTGAATGCAGATAGTGTTGTGCATTAAAGACGATTTTGTCTGGTGAGTAATAATGGATTTTGTTACTGATATTGCAAAGAAAAGTCAACTTGATTTTGTATATTATAGCAGCTATACACATGGTCAATTGTGGGCAAGTTTGTATGAACAGTGTAAACAAGCATATACAGCAATTGATAATTGTTATGTTTAAATAAAAAAGAAAAAGAATATTAGAAATGCTTTAAAATTGGTAGAAACATTTGACACAATGTTTCTTAGAACATGAGTGTCTCAGACAAAATCGCAAGTACCAATGCAAGTAAAGGTGCAGTATTCAAAAAGTACACAGACAGACATCAAAGAGAAATCTGTATGTGTAACATAAATTAAATGTACTAACTGTGATTGACTTCAGGCAAATGTTTTTGATTTGGAAGAACAATTGGATCTTAAATCGGAACTGATGTGTAAACTTAACAGTTGTGTGTGATTACAAAGAGTGATCATAATTTGATACCAGAGCCGTAGATGTCACAGAAATATCATCACAATCTGATGTAGAAAATTGTTAGATAAGGCTGCAAAACTTAAATTGAAAATTCAAGAGCTGCTAATGAAAGTTACCAAAGATATTCCTCCACATAATCCATCAATGGATGCATTTGATAATGCAGATGTATTTGAGTCTAATGTATCAAAACATAATTTCAATGACGAACAAAGGAACAGATTGTTTAAAATATGGCT